TTCAACGGTTCGAAAAACAAAATAGTAACGCGCAAGTTTATAAGTGTCAAGTGACAAGTGCAACAACGCGCAAGGTTAAGGGTCAAGTGTCTGTCAAATGAGATGGGTTGCCTTTACATTTGCTATTGTCACATGGTAAAAAAGTGGGTGCATTTATCTATTGAAAATTGATTGAAATTAATCTTTAAACCTTTACAGAAAGTGGTTCGGTTTTCGGTGCGGATCAAACATTTGTGGAAAATTTCGGTTCGGTTAATGGTTCAGTTAATTAATAGAAAAAAGCGGGTTTCCGGTTCAAAACCGGTTCACGTCCCTGGCTATTACTTTAATCTGCATTTTGCCTAGCTCTTTGTTTGACAAGTCCTCATTTAGCAGCACTATATGAATATTTCATTTGGACAAAAAAAAAATCGAAATTAAGAAAAAACTGGTATGGTAAATTATTCCACAAAGATTTTTATCTTCCACGTACATATGTATGTAGCTACTTAACCTAAGAGCAAAATTGGTAAAACTTAAAAAATATAATGAATTTACAGTGAATTTTAAGATGCAGNAATTGGTAAAACTTAAAAAATATAATGAATTTACAGTGAATTTTAAGATGCAGTTGTATAAATATTCTAGATCAAAACCCCGGTTTATCCAATAAAAAAACTACGGCTTATTCAATATTCGAAAAATCACGATTTGAAAAAAACCTCCCAACAAGTTTGGGCAAACCCCCGGCTAAAACTGGTTTAGAAAAAGCGAGTCAATCAACCTAATCCACTCCGTGCTTGATTGAAAAACGCAACAATTTTAGGGTCATTGAATCAAGCGCGGAAGCGACCAACCACAGAAAAATAGTACTTGACTAGGATAACAAAACTCTAAAAGCGTTTTGAAAAGTTAGCTCGTTTCAAAAGTTATAGCGGGTAAAAGTTTAGCTTTTTCAAGTTATTTTTCTGCACAAATTTTCTTCCATAGAAACTCCTCAGGATATTGTAACGGCATAAAGGCATTGGGATAGATATGAATATATATATATAGATGTGTTCAGAAAAGCGAGAAGAA